GGTAACACATTTGAAGACGCGCTTGCACGTCACCGCGCCGCGAGCGGGCTCAAGGGTGTCTCGTTCGATCTCGGCTTGGTTCTGGAGGCTGGGTGGGCGAGCGACAACTTTGAGGACGTGACAAAGAGCTTGCGTGCTGGACTGGGCGGGTTGACGCAGAAGCAGCTGATGGCGATTCTGGACGTCCTGTGCGATCCATCGTATGATTGTGCAGGCGCAGCAGCGCAGGTGGTGAACATCCATGATAAGCCTGCGAAGCTGTATCGTATGTTCCAGGATGGCGTGCTGCACTGGGTAGGCAAGCCGTTGTTCAAGAACCTCCTTCGTCTGGGACAAGTCGAGCTGGTCAACAGCACTGGAGGTGGCAGCGGACGCGATGCGACGGCGGTCGACTACCTGGCCCTCATCAGAGCGGCGGCTGATGCTGAAGAGGCTACGCACATTGTTACTATGGCGTTGCTCGGGAAATTAGGCAAGTCGCTGTCGGTGCCGGCCGAGAGTCTGGATGTCGGCAAGCCGGCGTATGTGCTTGGTGTTGACTCGCTCATTGCGGTTGAGCTGCGATATTGGTTCCTCAAGCAGTTCGGAGTCGAGGTTCCCGTATTCGTAATTTTGAAGAAGCAGCCGACCGTTGAGTTGTGCCGGCACGTGGCGGAGCAGGTCGTTGCGACTAACTGAGCTTGGTGACAGCTGTGGTGTGGGGAGGAAGGGAGCATCCGCGCTGATCTAACGCCACGCACTAAAACGCGAAGACATGTGATTTCATGCGATGTAGATGGAGGCTGCACACCTCAGCCTGCAAAAGCTTCCTTGTATCTAGCATCTGCGTTGTTCATGGAGAGCGTTCCGTCAGAATAAAGACTAATCTTGGGTCGTTCTGGGTTGTGCGTTAGTTTTGGTTGTCGCAGATCTGGCATCCTCATGGTTTGCCGAGTAGATTAAGTGATTCTTGTTACCCGATGGATAGAGATGTTCCACAACGGCTTTCAGCACAGGTAGCGTAACGTGAATTCGGGCCGCGGCCACAAGCAACACAGTACGCGGCATGGACATGGGAGGCGCACACCATAAAGCGCCCAAGCAATGGCTGCATATTACTGCCGGATGATGCCATGGGTGATCGATGAGCAAACGGTGCGGAGGGTTCCGTAAAAACAACAATACTCGCTACTGTGTGACGTACCGTGCCGTACCGTGCCGTGCCGTGCAGTGCAGTGCATATTTGTTTTTTTGGTCACGATGCGTTGTCGAAATCGCAGCCACTAAACAGAGCACAAACATCAACCTCTTATTAGGAAGATATGTAAATCCGGCTAACACGCGCAGCACACCACCTCTGAGCGTGGTCGAGACCAATTTGACGGAGCGCCCACAGGGATCCACGGATGTCTCGTGGCCAGCAAAAATTGATGCCAGGCAGGAAGTCTACCCACGCAAACACGCACGCCCCATGAACAATAACGTAGTTTACAAGCGAGTCGCCCGTACAAGCGAGGCGCCCACCCCACCAACTTTGATCACCTATCTAACTATGCAACTCAACCACCCTTTAAGATTATAAATAGATATTAATAGAGTAGATTAAGCAGTATCTAAAGTATTCTTTTTGCATGTACGTGAGTTGTGCCTAGTCTCTTTGCACCTGCTGCAGCGCGCCTGAGCCTGGCGGCTAAGGCCTAATCGCTCTCCTTCTTAACGCTCTTTACGAGCAATCTGCTGATCAGCCTCACGTTAAGCGAGTATATCCTCTCCCTCTCCCTTTATTAAGACTCCTTGCTTCTGTAAACGCTTTTTCTTACGCTGTTTACGCGCTAAGGCTGCCTTATTAGCCTTCTTAAGGCTGGCAATCTAATTACGCATTAGCTTAGCTAAGAGCATTATCACCTTAGCCCCCTTCTTAAGCTAGTTAATTGCCTTAATAATTGAAGCTAGTAATAAGCTCTTGTGCTGTCGCACGCGATTACGTATTAATGTTAATTAAGCCTTAAGCTTACGTACGTTGCTCGGCGTACAAGCCTCCCAGAGAGCCTCTAGTAGAGCAGCTAGAGTAGGCGTACGCAGCTGCACGTCTAGCTTTAATAGGACAGCGTCTAGCTAGAGAGGAACAAGGCCTGCACCTCGAAAAGCTAAGCAGATATTAGCTGTAGTAAACGAGCGATTAAAGGCTGCCTTAAAGGCTGGCAGGAATTTAAGCTTAGTAATGTAGTTAATCTAATAGCAGATTAGGCTCTTAATCTTACGGCTGTACGCTCGCTTTAACGGCGAGAAGCAGCTAACGTTAAGAGGCTAAAGTAGGTAAGATAAGTAAGGTGGCATACAGAGCGTGTAGATATTGTTCTCCTTGCAGAGCTCTTAAAACTTAAGAGACTAGTAGCTCTTGTAGCTATTAAGGACAAGTAGCTAATGTGCTCTAACAACCTTCCCCTCTGTATGCTTAATAAAGTGCTTTAACTACTTAACTCCTAGCTTGTTAGTTGTCTATCTGTTGTCGCTAACTGCGATCGCCTAGTTGCGTGGGATATCTGCCTCCTTATACTAGGCAGACAGGTGATACTGGCTAGCGAAGATGAGGAATAGTAGGACTAACTAGCCAGCAGCGTTAATCGCAGCTATTGCTGTTACCTACTCACGGTCGCTAGGCTGGATAGCCTTTAGCCTGCCTCTCCTCTCTAACCCTATTACAACGAGCTAGGTCTTGATCTTGCCTATTATAAAGCCTGCCTTGTCGAAGTTGTAGACGTCCTTATCGCAGATGCTGTACTTTGCCTTCGTCTGCTCTACGAGCTTAAACTAGCCTCTAATTAACATAGGGTCCTTACATAGAGCTCTCTGCCTATTGTACGCTTAGTTAAAACGTGTTGTGAGCCTGTCTATACGCTTAACAAAGTTGCGCGGCTAGTAGACGCCAACCTAGCCTGCGCCGCGCGCAGCCAGCAGCTTATTAGCTATATCACGTACAGCTGCGTACGTAGGCGCAAATCCACGTTAATCTAGGCTTAGTATATAGCTAACAATTACCTCCTCCTCTAGCTAGGTAAGCTTCTTCGAGTTAGGCTGGCAATCGCGTTGTAGAGGCTTGCCAGCGCGTCGGTCGCGTAGCGTCGTACGAGGGACATTAAAGGCCTAAGCAGCTGCTCGTACAGTCTTAATCTAATGCTTGTTAAGAGACAAGATAGTTAGCTGTATATTAGCTTTAGATGAGCGTGATACAATGTGGTGGGGTTGAGGCATTGTACGCAAAGGCGAGGTAGGTGATCAAAGTTGGTGGGGTGGGCGCCTCGCTTGTACGGGCGACTCGCTTGTAAACTACGTTAAGAAGCTTGGTCTTGTAATGTAAGCGTATACACGACGGCCTTCCTCACCCTCTCCATATCATTGAACTTGTAGATCGACGAAACCAGGTTTTGTACCTTCAAAGGTGCAGGTGGGCTCCTGCAGCCTTGAAAATTCTCATGTCGACTCCGAGATAGATGTAACAAAATCGGCCCGATCGTTAGCTTATGTCCATATTTGGCTATTGGGCATGGAAACTCAGAGAGGGGTGTATGGACACATCCTGAGAATGGCTCATCTCTATCCGGTCACACTCTCATGCACTTGCAACTTCCTCCCACGCCTGCATTTTATTTGTCATCATACGTCTGGCATCAACCCACCTATTGTGCGCTCTGTCGTACGGAACTTTGAGTCGTCGAATATTATACTCCGATGAATCAACGCGTTCACGAGAACGTTCAAGTACAGGATTGCTAGAAAAAAATCAAGACGATAAGAGTAGGTTTACTACCGAGCGTGAGCATGATGTGATGTGGAGTCAAACGTCGCTTGCTTCAGTAACCGGAAGCTTTGGGTGTGCGAGACTGCATACGGACTATCTGCTTTTTCTCAGCTTCCTCCCCCCATCCCATCAATACCCGGTCTGACCGACTCTACGCACACCAAAGTTCTTCAACTTGGATCAACGCGTCGATGTTCCTTGTCAGCCTAACGTACGCTGTCCCAATATCCGATAGATACACTAACGAAGAAATTCTCATCGCTGACTCTGTGATATGTGGCTGTACTATACACAGTGTCTCTTTCGCACAATACCCTTGCCTCGACCAAGAGGCTGAATTCTCTACATTTGCGGAGGTGTCTCACCTAAGATACTACCACTTTGTACGAGCTAAGTGGCAATGACGAGAAACTCAACAGTAGGACGTCGGACCAGTTCTTACCTGGTAGGCGCACACATCTTCACAACAGCTGGGACATCAGTGCACCCAACTTACCGCAGTACAGCCTAAATAGGGCTATCCTGAGGCACGTACAGGTGAGTTCTCAGTGTTTTACGCACAGTAGTGGTCAAAAACGTTTTGAGTACAGACTGTAACCGTAGTACAGCTTCTTAGACTGCATATAGGCTGTACTTAGCTAATAGGGACTAGAAAGGTTACAAGAAGTAAACGCTCACTCACCACTAATAGCATTAGAAACTCTAAGCCGTGCAGCCGTACTACAGTCCCCACACCTTTACTCCCTGCAGTCATAATGCAGACTAGTAAGCGGCCTACGATGCGTTGGATACACCACGGAACATATTGGAGTCGTCAGTATAGCCATGCTCGTCGGCTACGCCGGACCGTTACTGATCAACTAGATGCACTAAGAGACTCAACAGACGCATCGTAAGGCAATTGTGCGGCAATCATCCCTTTTTCATCGTTTCACAGCGTTCCAAATGCACTCCACGAAGAGTAACCGGACACGTACGCATAGATTCTCAGCATATGATAGGTCATGCTTTTGAGTTTCTCTTGGAGAGGGTGTGTACATGCAACATGATTGACAAGAGCCGGCATCTTTTGTGCTTGGCAGCATACGCATAGCATCTACGCTAGAACTGTATGGGGTATGCTTTGTATATCATCGAGCTGAGATTGAAAAGCAATATGCTTGGAAGTCTGGTGATATCTCTGCATCAACCGAAATAATTACAGCGTGGTGGCCATCATACACACATATATATTGCGAGCTCAATGGCAGCATTTGAAGACCACCAAGCTCACTACCTAGAGATTTCTGCTCATATCCAAGCACGCATTTACACCTTCACACACCGCACGATCTTCAGAATACATTGCGAACATGGCACCCAACTCATCTCACCTAGCGGATGAAAAATATCGATATGATCTTGTGGTTTCTACAACCCAGGAAAGCATCAATGCCGGCTTGTTGCAGTACCTGCAAAACACAAGCACGACTCAGCCATACCAGTACCTTTTCTACATGGCCGACCAGCAAGGTGCCACAACTGTCAGACTGACGTTGACCGAACTACTAAGCAAGAGTGGTAATGTGAATCCTTTCGATATTCCGAACGACACGGATACCACCGACCCCAGAATCCAAAATCTTTTCGCCGCTCGTTTTGTATGTGGCGTTCGCCTTCGGGCGGGAGTTCCTCCCGGCCTTGTTCAGAGTGTCCCTGGAAAAGGTCCCCAGATCAGGCTTCCAGCTCCCATCGTTACGCTAGGAAGGAGCGCAGACAACGTCATCTTCAACATGTATTGCTCAGATGTCACTCTGATTAGTTTTCGCCCTTCAGGAGGATACAACCCGGGAACCTGGAAATGGTATTCGCAGCCGTCTGGAACTCCCTGGTACGTTTCGACCAGGACTGATATCACTAGCCAGAACCTGAACAAGGATCTGGATACGCCTTACTTCAACAAGAATCCGGAGCTGAAGAAGCAGCTGTTGGCTCGCTTGAACAATCTTTCAGGGTCCGCTTTCAGTTTGCAGCAACTGTTGTTCAACCTTGATAGCGCCGTTTCGCAGACGGTACCCAGCTTCGTGGGTGTCGGCGACAAAGACGCCAGTCATTTACTTGGCTTAGCGTTCGCCGACCTCTGGGCTAGTGAGGCTAAAGAACAAGGGTTGCCTCTTGTTGGAGTGACCGCCGTTGCGCAATATCCTGACGGGTCACCTCTGCGCTTGACAGGCCTACTACGATCCGTTAGTCCTGTCGTTGACTCATCAATAGGAGCCCCGATCGACAACCCTTCTCAGCTGCAGACATCCGCTACCACGCTGAATTATCTGTGCGCCACTGGTGGACGTTCTGTGCCGGGAGCTTCCAGCTTCTCTTGGAACTGGATCGAGCCTCAGGATATTTCTCAATCTAGTGGCGTCATGTCTGTCAAGAGGGATGTCATTGCAGCCTACTTTGTCGAGCAGATGCTTCCACAGGCCAAGAAATCTTGCATCAAACCATGGACAGACGTCGACGCATACGATATAGTCGGCGGCGTTAGTTACTATTGGAGTTTCGCAAGGGGTCAGCAGCCTAGTGTGACATACCACAAGAGTGGCGCTACCGTTGCATCATTATCTTACTCGGATGTAGCGCGAGCAAGTGATAGCATGGCCCTCACACATGGGGAACTCAACATAACGAGCACCTACACATGCGACTTCGTCTCGGGAAAATTGAAACTCTTCGGCATGACTTTTGGGGAAGCCAATGAAGTCACCATAACGCAGCATCTCAAGGTTTCCGTCTACTGCCAATGGGCAGCTTCTGGTGCCTCTGCTAATGTTGTCGACAAGATCCTTAGTGACGCGTATCTCGTATCCGTTGACAGTCATGGTAGCCTCAGTATGGTCTCCCACCCTGACCCGAAGAAACATACCCTGACGGACAATTCCCAATCCGGAAGCGCAAGCGGGATCATCAACTTCTTCACTCACATCAACGACTTGATTGACGACGTAAGAGGCAAAAGTGGAGATTTTCTGGGGGCGTCGATCAACCCGATCCGCTTCGATCAGTTGAAGAGTTTTGTCTTTCCCGGAGCTAGAGTCTTCTCCTACAAGACCGCATCGTTCTCCGACTACCAGGACCTGGTCAGCCTGATCACGTACATAAATCCGACCGACGATCAGTTCGGCCGGACAGCACCTATAATGGAAGCGGACACTGTTACTGCAGAGAAGCCAATGCAGTTGGATGAAGTGTCTCCTATGGCCGTGGCTATCGAACAAGCCAGAGCTAAGGGAATGTTGGGGCCGGTTCCGGCAGTCCATCAGGACGTGGAACATGCCCAAAAGGCTGCTCTCAGCACGAAAACAGAACAATCTGGCGTTGAGCCATTCGTAGTGAAATCAAACGCCCAGGGTTTCACCATTACTGCTGCTAAATCAGCAGAAAAAGCCAATGGTACGAGTCGCCCTTTTCCTCTTGCCGCTCCAGTGTCCATCCCCATACCTACGGGATCGCTAGGCGGCAAATTCCAAGTTTCTAGCATCACCGAAATGATGCTGAATTATGTACAGGGACAGTTGGTTGATCCAACGGGCGAGTTTCGCGCCCTCCAGATGGCCAACGGCACCCCTCTACTATTCGCTATCAACGCGTCGAAATCTCTCAATATCTTTAGAGAGGTTCTTGGAGAATCACAGACGGGTTGGGTTGTGGACGATATCTCTTCTGCAACTGTGGAACAAGCTTTTGGAACTGGGGCGACAGTGGAAGCTTTTGGAGTCAACCAAAGCGTGATGGATGAAGGAACCATTGGCCTCGGTATGGCAGTCTGCAAAGGCGGCTCTGACACTCTTTTCTTATCTCTCTCAAATGCACCAGACACAACATCGTCTTGGACGTCTCATCCAAGTTGGCGAGCATTCCCTTTTGATGCGCCCAAGGGCCCGCATCCCGTGCAAATCACAAAAATCATGTTTTCTGAAACTGATCAAGGCATTCAATACATCATGGTTGACATCCTTGAAAACCCTTCGTCATCTCTCAAGACAACAGCACGGTATATTGTGGACCCATCTTCGACCACCACCCACTGGATTCCCCACACACTGCCCTTTGATGTGGAGAAGGGTACGTACAGTAGTTGCATAGGCCGTGTCGCACAAGGAATGATAGACGGGATATACACTGCTGGTACGGTCCAGGGTGCCCCTCAGCTTGTTTACGTGCCAATGTTCAATCTATCTGGGGATGCGGCTCCAATGCCAACACGACTGACGCTGCCTGGTCAGACGCACGCGACGGCTATCGCATCAATGCGACATATCGACAAGTCCTCTGCACTTTATGGTTCCACGGATCTTTACGCTATCGGGAAGTCAACTCTGTATCGGTGGGCGGCGGATGAGCAGCTTAGAGATGGCACTGCAGGGAAGCCAATCATGACGAACGAACTGCTCTCCGGCACCGACTCGCTGACTGCTATGACCCACGACGGCATAGTCACTCTGTTCGGTAAGAACGGCAGTAATACGGTGTACTACACTTCCTGTCCTGTACTCAAACTGGCCGATTCCCAGGCATGGAGCATCCCCGTCCCCATCTTGAGCAACGTTGAGCGTATTGCTTCTTTCTGCAACATTCGCGATGGAGGCAACACCGTGTTTGCTGCTGGTGGCAACCGTATCCAACGTGTGATCCAGGCAACAAACACGGAGTCTAAGATCTGGCAGAGTCAGCCAATCACGCTGTCAGCTCCTCCACAGCAGAAAGCCCTGTCCTTCAAATCGTACACGACGACCATAAAAGTCACAGATACGGATGGAATTGTTTCTCCGGGAACTCAAGTCACTCTTACAACTCCATCTCGTACTCCTGTGTATATTGAGGGCCTTTACTACATCCTTTCACCAGTCCCGGTCGTCCTGAAGACCAATAATGCGGGACAGATCACCATCATCCAAGCGACTGAGAGCATCATCGGGTCCGTCATTACAGCCACGGTAGAGGGCGCTACTAGCATAGTGAACCCCATGGAACAATCGTTCGCAAAATTATCGGCGCTCACGGATAGGGCGGCTTTGAGACAAGCACATTTCACCCCGAATACAATCGCTGGTGGTGTGAGTGGGCCCAAGCAAACCACTCCGTTGATCTCGCCGTCCGCGACGAACGAGGATGTGGACAGCACAGCTGAGTGCATCCGGAAGTTGAAGGAGGCTTATGTTCTGACGAAGAAGATGTCACTGTCTTCCACTGCACCGGCTGCTATTGAAAACGTATCAGATATCGCCAAAACTGCCACTTTCGGCTTGGGCGATTATATTCGGGTGGCCGCTGGAGATCTTTTCAATTGGTTGCGGACTGGAGTGAACCATGTGATACAGGTGATCAAGGACGCGGCCAGTGGTGTCTGGCAATTTGTCGTCAATATTGCGGGCAAAGTGTATCATACGGTCTTGGATACCGTAGGCGCCATCGTCGGCGCCCTCGAGTGGGTGTTCAACCAGATTAAGACGGCCTTGGAAGACCTCATCCGGTTCTTGGAGGTCTTGTTCCAATGGGACGATATCAAGCGAACGAAGCAGATCATGCACAACATGATCCGCTTCTATCTGCAGAACTCCGTAGAGGGCATCAAGGCTGTGCAGAGCAAGTTCGACGCATCGATAGCCGGCGCACAAATGGCTGTCGCAGAGTGGTCTGGCATGGAGAATTGGAATTCCCTGGGCGACAGCGCAGCTAAACCGCCAAGCGGAAATGCGACGAACCCTACAAAGGACCATACTCCGAGCTCGCAAATGATGGCTAATCATTTCCAAAACAACGCGCACAGTATGACATTTCAGGGTCAACTCCCTAAGCCAAGTCTGGTGCAAAATCTCCTCGATGATTTGATGACAGCCATCGCAGCCGAGGGCAAGGTATTCCAGGAGACCTACAACCAACTCAAGGACTTGGCATCCGACTTCCTCAGCCTAAGTCTCACTGACATCTTGAAACGGCTGGCAGGAATTCTTACCGAGACCGTGCTCGGCACAACGCAGGTGGTTGGGGATGCTCTCTTCAATGTCATCTACCACCTTTCGTCTTCTGCCATTGATCTTCTGGATACGAAGATACACATACCTATTCTTTCCGATATCCTCAATGCGATCGGGGTGCCGGACATCTCGTTCCTGGACTTGATCACCTGGATTGGCGCTACAGGTATCACTGTCATATACAAACTCGCAAACGATGGTAACGCTCCTTTCCCAGATGATGGTACATCCAAGACTCTCATCAACGCCCGCAACTGGACCGAGTTTGCAACGGTATTCAAACCAAACTCCTCACCATCTATTTCAGCCAAATCCACTGCGATGGATATCTCCGGCGCCTCAATGGGCTCAGGGCTTGTTAAGATTTCAGAGTCTGTGGGTACGTTGATTTACTCGAGCGGACATGCTCTTGCCGGCTTTGTCGCGTTCACAGGAAACTTCTTGTTTTTCGCAGAAGCAATGGATCCAAGCCCGGATAACGTCTTTGGCATCCCGTCGGCAGTGATCGGCGTTATCGGCGCCGTTGCTGCTGCGGGTGCTGATGCGCTCGTCGCCAAGATGCCCTTGGAGAACGAAGCAGTAGACTGGATTGGCAAAGGTACCTCCGCGCTCACCATCGCGTCGAAGCTTATCTTCTCTGGCTTTGTGCAAGACAGGCTCGATGCTGGTGGCAAGTTGAAGTTCCTCAAGGTTGATGACAACAGACAAACTGGAGCGATCGTTAACTCCTGCTTGGTTTTTCCGGCATTGTTCTGCACGTGCTTCCACTTTTATGAACTTTCGAAAAAGCCAGAGGGCAAAGAACGATCTTGCGCGATCATTGGAGAGACGTCGCAGATGGTCTCTTGTTTTGGCCAACTCGCCTACACCACCGCGGTACTTGATCCCGACCCAGCGACCAGAGTGGTTCCCGCTGGCGTTATGGCCGGATGCAACATCGTTTTGTGTGGATTGGAGACTGGTGCTGCTCTTGTACTTTGAGATAATTTTGCGTTTCGATTTTCGATCGCGGAAAGGGCATGAAGTCGGCTCATAAGAGCGAGATGTAACTGGAGCGAAGGTCGGACGGCGGTAGCGCGTGACGTGTAGACCGGCACGTGGTGGAGCCGGTCGTTGCTGCCAGATTTCTTGTCAAGTGGGAGGATCTCTATATTTGCCAATATAAATTAATCACGCATCTTTGAATTCCACGTACGACCATAGGACACTGAAAATTAGGCTTCCCGTTCGCTCAGCCATATACAAGCAGTGCTGTGTTGAGGTCGAGCGGCTGCAGCGTATGGGTTGAATGAGGGGGATATACGGCAAAGAGGATCCTATTCTGATCACAGTAGTCAATAAAGTCCATTGTGAGATGAGATCTATGCCCATCTAGAATCAGTAATCGATAGCTTGATCGTGCCTTCGCCTTTGTACTGCGATCAAACACCTGTTTGAGCCATGCTAGGCCAATCTCATTGTTTGGCCAGCCAGAAGGGGATTAGGATATATGAGCCTGATGGACATCAGGATCAAGATGAGATCCATCCGCGCAGACGCAGGCTGTAAGCGAAATCCACTCGCGAGAGCCGTCTTGCATAGTACTCCTAACCTTCTGATCCTCATATGAAGCTCTACTGAAGCTCCTTTTTGAGCAGCCAACAACTACAAGCATAAAGCCCTTCTCATCCATATTGTATGTGTGCTCCGGCTCAACCTTGTAATACTCTGTTTTCTCCTTCAGTAGCTCGAAGTATCGCGTGCACTTTGCACTAGAATCGGCGGCGCGATGTTGGCAGTCCATAGACGTTGACCATCGGGGCGTGGGCTCGTTGGCATGCCTCTGGACAAAATGATCAACCCAGCTAATAGAAAAGCGTTTTTGTTTTGAATATTCCTTTTTTGGCAATATCGGAGGGGTAATTTTGAATCATCTCTCTTCTTTGTTGTAAGTGAGCCTCTGTAAGCTACTGTATGTACTTTATAAGCTCATCCTTCTCCTGTGGTCGTAGGTTGCGGCGTGTTAAACCTGATTCTTCTTGCGAACGCGTCTGGCCTCGGTATTTGCGTGTCAAAGTCGAGCGCACAGCTCTATGCTTTTCTGCTATTTTTTACCTACAAAATTTGATCTTTAGTTGCAAAAATATCACACTCTGCAATAGCTCCTCTTAATCCTGTTGTGTTGTGAAGCTGTTGTATTAAGAATAATCGCCGCATTACGCGTCTCAGCGCATTTAGGAATGGCGCGCACGGACTGCCAAAACACGGTACTGGACTTGCTGGGGTTCGTTTTTCCGAGACGCCAAAATAAGCTATCCCAGCTTCTTCAGAGCTTTTCTGTGGATGCAGAATGTGATGAGATGCTGTTTGTACTACGATTTGGTGACAAACTAGTTCTAGCGTCACAATCGCGCTAAGTCGCGAGGGGTGGCACGGTATTTCGCGAACGACCCATAGCACGCGACTCGGTCCGTCACGACAACACGATGCTTCTCGAGCTTGATCCGCTCATGTTCGCTGCGTGCTCAAAACATGGTTTTCATGCACAAATGCACTTCGAACGCAGCTCCCGTCTTTCTGGAGCGCCCGCACCTGCAACTAGCCTCAACAATCTTTATTCCACAACCGGGGTTGAAGTCTGATTGACGTAATGACGGCCCGTCTACCATCTAATGGCATCTCCAGACTCAAGGTTGAGGCTAAGTCCTACGTGGTTTGCTCATCAAGCATCGGTAGAATTTTCGGACCTTCAATGGTGATGTCAAAGCCGTATCCACATCCCAGCTGGCCCCGCAATTGGCCACGCCGGCTCACATGGCGTCTGGATCGCATCGTGAACGGTACTTGTCAATCTGAAAAGCTTCCTGCTGTCGTCCCCGGATTGGACTCCGCTACAGCTGCAAGCGACTTATGATGCTATGGGGATGCTCAAGCTTGAAGTTTTTGTGTTACCCCGCAAGTTGTCGTGGTACGGTGGCTCAAATATGGGAGCTTAAATAGGAGCTTGTGGTCTGGTAAAAGACTCACCAAGCATCCGAAGTTTGACAGCTAAGCCTTCACTCTCGAAGTCATCATGAGGTTCGTCAATGTTGCTGTTTCAGCAGCTGCGCTCGCTGGCCTTGCATTTGGTGAGTCTGCTTCCGCCATTCATCCAGCTGCACTTCTGACATTGAAGCAACAAGGTCAAAGCATTGCGGCGTCAGGGACAACGCGAGTTATACCAACTCTTGCTCCTCAGATCAATGCTCTTCCCAGCCTGACGCCAACAATCTATGACGATAGCGCGCCAGACTCTCAAGCATGTCCCGGTTATAAAGCGTCCAATCTGGCTGACAATGGCCACGGTTTCACTGCTGACTTGACTATTGCTGGGGCCAATTGTCAGGCATTCGGCAACGACATCGCCGATTTGACCCTCGAAGTGTCTTACCAGGCCAAGGAGCGCCTTAATGTTCGCATCTACCCCAAGCACATCGCACCAGCGAACAGCACGCAATACATTCTTCCAGCTTCCCTGGTTGATCAGCCTGAGTGGGATGGCAAGACTACATTGAACAGCAGTGATCTTAGCCTCGAGTGGAGTAATGATCCTACCTTCCAGTTCAGGATCTCACGTGTCCATACTGGAGAGGAACTTTTCTCGACATACGGACATGTTATTGTTTATGAGGATCAGTTCATTGAGATTGTGACAAACATGGTCGATGTAAGTAAGTGAAGACGGTTAGAAACAACTTGTGATTAATAGCTTCATGCCAGGATTACAACGTCTACGGTCTTGCAGAGAATGTTCATGACTTCCGTTTGGGCACTAACCACACCCAAACGTTCTACGCTGTGGACGCTGGTAATACTGTCGACCGCAATGTATATGGAGTAATTCCCTTCTATCAAGAAACCCGCTACGGACAAAACGGTTCCGCGACCACTGCTCACGGCATGTATGCCCGCAATGGTATGTTGAACTGGGACAAATGCAATGACCGGATATTGACTCGCTCCAGCTCACGGCCAGGAATGGTTGCTTCGTGAGAACACCATCGCTTACCGCACTTTGGGTGGCAGCTTCGATCTCTACTTCCTCAGTGGTCAAAAGGAAGATAAAAGTTCGAGTGCTCTGACAACCATCGCCCAATTCCAGGCTGGATGTATCGGCCTTCCAGCTATGCAGGTTAGTGAACCCCAAGCCTGACACGTCTGAATTGGCTAATTACTGCAAGATGTACTGGACTTTTGGCTATCATCAAGCTCGTTGGGGCTACGAGAACATCTCCGTAGTCCAAGGCGTCGTTGACGGTTACCGGGAGGCCAATATTCCTCTAGAGTGCTTGTGGAACGATCTCGATATCTACGACCTATATCGCGACTTCACCAATAACGAGGCCACATATCCTCTGCCAGCATTCACTAACTTCATCGAGCGGTTGCACGCTAACGGCCAGTATTACGTCCCTATTATCGACAGCAACATTTACGTCTCAAACCCCAACAATGCTAGTGACACGTATGCGCCCTTCGAGAATGGTGCACATCTAGAAACCTACATCCGAGACCCTACTACTGGTAAGTTCGTCCTCCGAACTTGGCATCTAATACTTTTTTTAACTCTCTATTTCAGGATCTTACTACTACGGAGACAACTGGCCAGGCTTTAGCGTTTGGGCGGACTGGCTTCTCCCGTCTTCTCAGAGATGGTGGACCAATGAAATCGTCCAGTGGCATAAGGGTACTCCCTTCGATGGCATCTGGATTGATTTGAGTGAGGCTGCGTCTTTCTGTGCAGGTTCATGTGGTAACGATCGTCTCACCGAGAACCCTGTGCACCCACCTTTCCTCCTGCCCGGCGACCCACTCACCTTTGACTTCAACTATCCCGAAGGATTCAACATCACCAACGCAACTGAAGCTGCTTCTGCTGCTGCTGCCTCGGCATCGCAGGCTTCAGCGGCCTCCGTCTCTCCTGTCCTTCCGCCTGCTACCACCACCACTCAAGGCAGGACTGAGCCAACCCCTGGTGTACGCAACCTCAACTACCCACCTTACGTCATTAACAACGTGCAAGCGGGTCATGCGCTCGGTAAGAGCTCGATCGCTCCTAACGCAACGCACAACGACCAATATAACACGACTGAGTATGAGATGCACAACCTGTTTGGTCTGCAGATCTCGAACGCAACTTACCATTCGCTGCTTGAACTTTTCCCTGGGCGTAGGCCTTTCACTGTCGGACGCAGTGTCTTTGCCGGCAGTGGTAAAACCACCAGTCATTGGGGAGGCGACAACACAAGTACTTGGGGCAGTATGTTCTTGTCGATCTCGCAAGCTTTCACCATGATGATGTCCGGTATCCCCATGTTCGGAGCCGACACTTGCGGTTTTGCTCGCAACACTGACTTCCAGCTCTGCTCTCGCTGGATGGAGCTCAGTGCATTCTTCCCCTTCTACCGTAACCACAACGTCAAGGCCACTATTGGCCAAGAAGCATACCGCTGGTCTTCGGTCGCAGAATCTGCACGCCGCGCTATGGCTGTGAGATACAGCCTTCTTGGATACATGTACACACTCTTCTACCATGCTCACACTAAGGGCGAGACTGTTATGCGCGCGCTTGCTTGGGAGTTCCCGAACGATGAGTCCCTGCGCGAGACGTACAACCAGTTTATGCTCGGTCCTTCCATTCTTGTCACCCCTGTACTAGTACCGAACGTCGAGACCGTGCAAGGCGTGTTCCCCGGTGTTGGCTCAGGCGAGCGTTGGTACGATTGGTACACTCTTACTGAAGTTGATGCTGAGCCAGGCGAGAACGTGACTTTGCAGGCACCGCTCGAGCACATCAATGTGCACGTGCGAGGTGGGGCCGTCCTTGTGCTGCAGGAGCCCAAACTAACGACGGCTGAGACGAGAAAGACGCCTTATAGCCTCTTGGTCGCGCTCGACAGCAACAGTGCGGCCAGTGGTGATCTGTATCTCGATGATGGCGAGAGTCTGCAGCCCAATGCAACACGTCTGGTGCAGGTCAGTTGTCCCACAAAAAAGCAGATCAACGTTACTAAATCATCACACAGTTCTCGTACAGTAACAACTGCCTTTCGTTCACGTCTGATGGCTCGTTCCACAGTGCTCCCGTACTTGGTAATATCACCATTGCTGGACTCCACGAGCAGCCGCAGCAGGCTTCGCTCAAGGCTGGAGGGAAGAACTGCGACTCTTCTGAGCTGACCACTTCATTTGAGAGTGGTGTGCTCAAGATTTCCGGTCTTGACAAGTACACCGCCAGTGGTGCTTTCGAACAGGACTTCGAGCTTAACTTCAGTTGAGCGTCAAATGCTTGACGTCACGCTAGGTATCCCTCGTAGCTAGGAAAAATGCAGAGCTTATTTGTACTACTTCATATGGTATAGGGGAAGAGAAGATCGGAACATGATTTGACTTATAATGTTAGCGAATGATTAGCGTTGAGACACGAATATTTGCCGGCGCTGTCACAGGAACAACCTCGTGTGCCAGATCAACTCCGCAGTTTTATTTTCTGGCACTCCTGTTCGCAGTCAAGGTCGACGAGGTTAGGACTCTGACATGAGTTGGGTATCTAGTCGTAGAAGTGCTAGTGTACTTCATGAGGCGGCAATAACCATCTCCCTGGAAAAAGATCAGAGGTTCGTCATACCCGGCTGCCGGTATGGTGAAGAAGTGGCGGCAAGGAAGCTAGAAAAGTGGGGCCATGTCCGTGACATACGACAATATCTGGCGTACGTACTTGAACAATCGCTCCACATAGAGTGAAGATAACAACCAACTTGACCTGTCACGTGAAGCACTGTGGAATTCTTTTAGAATCGATACACGTCTAGGAAAAGACTAAATCATCTCTTAACAGCTTAACCTGCACAAGAACTAATCGAAATGCGGCGTTTCGGTGGGCTTCTGCATTTTCCTGAGCATGAAGGTCTGCGATCTACTGCAAGACAAACATGACATACCCAGACTAGAATGATCTTTCTCGTCATCATCGAGGTTTGCTCGTAGGCAGACGTTTGCGTCTGGAGCCCAAGCCGAGGCTTTGTTCACACGATGGAGCTGTCCAGCCCTGCCTTGTGCGTCCCAACGTGCACTGAATCAGTACATATGGTCCAGACGCAGATCTAAAAAATTCATCCTCAAGTACACCAATCCTGACCGCAGAAGAGTGGTTACTACAGACTTCGATTGGTGTGACGACGCGAAATCAACGGTCAGTAACTGTTCGCATGATTCAGAGTTGCTATCAGTCAATCAGTTAGTTGTCAGTTCATCTTTGCGGTTCAAACTGTTAGTCTAGAAGTAGTGAACTGACCTGATTGACTGCCAAGACATTTTTTAGAATCGCGAACTAAGACTAAACTAACTGCTAAGACCGCTATCTTAGTATTGCACTAACTAATTAATTACTATCTAATTGCTATAGTTTAAAGTTATGTCTACTAAGATAGGCTTGTACTACAGCGATCTTAGCTGTTATATGCCCTCCTGCTGGTGTTTTAAGACCTAATCGCCGCTAGCTTTTTAAGCACTACAGTGCGTTAAGCAACTTAGGCTTTATTTGCAGCTGCTATATGCCTAGCATATTACTAAGCTTGCTAAACGTACGCTTACAATTAGCAGCTAAGGCTAGTATTGTAAGCACGTTAATAGTAAACTTAGCAAGCGTTAGGTACTATTGCGTCTATAACTGCTAGTACTTAAGCGGATTAAGAGCTATTAGATTGTCCTCTGCAATCGCTAGTACGCGTTTCTACCGCTCGTACTTATTGCTAAGATGCTCTTCTACCTGCTTCACAGTAGCGTCTAATTGCAACTTTAAGAAGGCAGATCGCGACGCTGTTAGACTAATAATACGCACTTTCTTTGTGTTACGATCTGCACCTAGGAGGAGACAGGGGTAAGCGTAATTACTTTAGAGGATTAAGCGGCACAGTTAAAGGATTGCAGCACAGCAACCACGCTGTAGTCACGTGACTGCTTAGTAGTGAGCAAGTACACGCTAGACCAAGAACAGGTGCTTAGTAGTAAGCAGGACTAGTTAGCTAATAACTAAACACAACACTGTATCGCTTAGTAACAAGCACTTACACGCTTAGTACTAAGCGCAACACTTATTAGTATATAGCTTAAACACTAAACCCTTATAGCTTAGTGTGTTTAACTTTGTACAAGACTCTAGTATTTAATCTAA